ACTCCAAAAATTAATATTTAATTAAAAATGCATAAAAATGAAGCTTGAAAATGAAATTTTTTCATGCAACAATTTTCATTTTATTCATCTTAATAAGATTCAAAGTCTTTGGCAGTTTTAGAATAGGACCTTTAAAAGTTGACATTTGTACCCTAAAAGGAGAAAAAATTAATACAGTTTTACTGAAATAAGATTTTCTTGAATCTAGCCATAGATACCAATGCTTCTTAGCATGATATGAAATGAGTAGTGATTTGTGGTGTCTTGCAATGATAGCAAAAGCCTTTTAAACTGTGCATTAAAGAATACATGACAGAAATAAAAGACAAAAAATATCAATTTAGTATAAAAATCATGACAATTTCTTTTAATGCCTGGATACCTATTGTTTTTTAACCTTAAATATATTTTTTGATCAATTTGCTATTAAAAAATACATTGCTCATATTCCAATTAGCTTTTTCTGCAAAAATATTGGAGATTTGAACATTTTTCCTACATAATATGATTAACTTTAATCAATAACTTTAAAGAAATACTGTGGATAAATGTACATAACTTTGTGAATTCAGTGATACTTTTATGAGTATTTTTGATTACTTAAGTGCTAATTATATGAACCTGAGGATCGGAGTAACTTAATTTTTGAATACGTTTTTTCGACCTTATCTGTGGAATAGCTTAATCAATGAGGTGTTTGCTCAAATTGCCAAAATCTGTTTAACATTTAGGTTATCCGAACTAAGAGTTATCATTTATACAGGAATCAAAATGATTGTATTTAAAATAATTTGATTCATTTCATCGACTACTTATCAAGATTTGTGGAACAAAGCAGTCATTTTTTTAATGTAGCAATTAAGTACGTGGATTTAAAAAAAAAGTTTTAAATTCGTAACATGACTTGTGTCACCCTTATTGAGAGACTGTGTGTTAATAAAAAAAGAAATCAAAAAAAAAATCTTGAAATCATTCTGTCAATAATCGATCACTGTTCAATATATATAAGTTATAAAATCAAAACAATCACGTGTATTTCCTGAAATTAAAACAACAATATGATATAGGATTCGAATGAGATGGGAATCTTTTGATTTAAAATAATGATATGAAATATATTCAGTGTTTGATTTACACTTTTTATAATTATATTGCTTTGCAGTTCCTGTAAAAGATCTTGCTATCAATAGTGGATCGTTGTACAAGGAAGGGAAGCCTTTAATATTTAACTGTACGGCTACAGTGGACTCTGACCATACCGAACTACTAGGATACTACAAGCTTCCATCCGACAATTCATATGTAAAAGTACAAGGAGAACAAACTATTTTACAGACATTTACTCAAAATTGTACTAAATCAGTTATATCGAAGTTTCATACTGGTTTCCTTGTCTCAGCAAATCTAAACGGAACTAAACTGAAATGTCTGTACAACGAAATCAGTCCAGAAGCCTCAGAAGAAAAGATTGTTATGATACAGTCGGCAGGTAAATCTGAAACAGACAATTTTTAATGTCAGTAACTTCATTCTAAATTTTTGGCTTAATGATGGGAACGTTGGAAATTTGCATGGACAAAGAAGCTTAAAATCTTTAACTGTAATTTGTTTATGAATATTTCCCCTATATTTATAATTGCATTAATATGAGATAAGTATTGATTTTTTAAAAGAAAAAAATAAAAGCATATTTTTTTTCAGACGTTGCCTTTACTACGTATAAACTAAAAGCAGAAGCACGTCAAAGTAAAGCTAACTTTACCTGTCTCGTAAGAAGTACTGGGTCTTTTAAAGCAATAAAGATCTTAAAAATAATCAACAGCACATCAATGATAGAAATGGCTTCATATACATCATCATCTGATTCAGTACAAAGTGTAGCCGGGGTTGATGCAAATTTTAGCAGCAATGCTCTAACCTTGATGTTTGCTTCAGTAATGTGCTCTGACGAAGGGAAATATAATTGTACTGTGATAATGGATGACGATTCGGAACAGCAACCTCCTCTCTCACTTGATGTTCAAGTAACAAGTAAGTTGTATGAGTGGGGCTTCCTGTATTCAGGAACATTTTGTTTTCGTTTTACATGTATTTTTGCTCATATAAGTCACGTTGTTTGAGGAAAATTAAAATAATGTGTATTTTTAAAAAGTAAACAATATTTCTTTAACACATTTAATTTGAATCTGGACAATATTAAACTATCAAATGCCTGCAGATATGAATGGTCGAAAATATAAGTATTTTAAGTACTTTATTCTGTTTAATTTCCTTTGGACGCTTAAGTTTTTTAAACATTATATATAATAAATTCCAATTGCAAACAAGAGGTTTTCAAAATCATTATAAATCTCTTCAAAGCTTCACCGGGCTCCTCGACTGTTGAGTTGTTTGTGGACCCAAATATTGTTGAAGATAGAGATTCTGGAACTCATTATTGCCTTGGTTCTGTTGGGTACCCAGAAGTTGGAGGTTATATAGAGATAACCTTCGTCCATCCTTTGACGAACGAAAATATAACACTTAACAAAGAAAGCTTACGGACTATTTCTAGCAATGAACTAGAAATTCAAAGCACTCTGATGCCTTACATCAAAGAAGAGTGCAAAACAATGGAGAAAATTTCATTCAAAATTAAACCTTCAAGGAAATGGAATAGAGGAAAAATCGTTTGTGAAGTCAAAAGTCAGGATGGGTCCGTTCAAAAGGCTGCAAAGGACGATGTTCTCTATGTTATTGATGGTAGATATTGACATATTTTCATACATATATTTATATATAACCTATATACTAGAACAAACTTAAATTATAATAAGAGAGACTAAAAATCATTTTGGCAAGCAAATTTAAATTTGATCTGTTTAAAAATTGCAAGATGGATAACATAAATTCAATCTTTCACGCATATGTTTGAATAGGGAAGTGTATGTTTATATTTAATTTAAAATGTTTTCAGCATCATTCTGCAACTCTACGAACAATCAAGAAATCTATTTTGATCATGAAAAAGAGGATTTTTGTAACACTTATGTACAATGCAGTGGGGGGACACCTTATGGTAAAAGCTGTAGTCCAAATGACTGTGTATTCATCGGAAAAGCTTATTGTGATGACTGTTCTCGTGCAAAGTGTACAGAAGAAATGATGACTACAGGTAAAAACGAATTTACATTTTCCCAATATTATAAAACTTGAGCTGTACATTAATTGCTTTTGTACATTTTTAAATCTAGAACAAATTAAACATACAATATTATTTTTCCATTAGAATATAAACTAATTCATATTGCATTCCATTACTAATAGGTACATATTTCAAAAAAGTGATACAGAACAAATGTGTAGGGATTGAATACTTAGGAAATTAGACATTATTTTTAGTTATTTCTATTAGCATATAACTTTTAAATAGCGATTTATGTCAAGGGTTTGTGAAGAGTTCCGAAATCACAAAACCTTGACATTATGAAGATGAATAAATATGATTTATCTTCTTTTTTTTTATAGAACAACTGATATGGTCACTGAAACAACAACAATAACAACACCAACAACAACGCAGATTGGATCTCATTGTAAGTGATGTTGTTAACCTTATGAAAAATTTGATTTTAGACACAGATTTAGAAATAAATAAATAATACCCTACTTTATTATTTGGGTATATAAAATGTATACCTCTTCAATTATATAAAAGGACGAATTTCATCTTAGGACTGAACTTTTGCGAGAATCACTGACTTTTACAGTTAATAGACTGAACATTTTTGACATTTAAAACATCGTTATATACGATGGCCGATATGGGTCGAACAAAAAATAACTACAAGTAATGTTTGTTTTTCTGGCAATTCTTAGATGCTGGCGAAAAGTAACGAGTTTTGCTTGATTTGCCGGCAATTTTTAGATGCCGCAAATCTAAAATACCGACATTTCTTATTCTAAACATTCAATTAAAATGACAGAGGATGTAAATAGACGTCTTATGTTAATTGGGAAAACGATTTGATAAAAACAAGAAGCAATTTCACTCGATACATGTTGTACGACACATCAAAACGCAGAGTGAAGCTGCTGAAACGGCTAGTTAGAAGCATCCCCCTCCCAGAAAATAAAAAAAATCTATAGGAGGGGTTCAACACTAGTCTCAGAAACTTTCACTGTGTTTATACAAAAAGTTTAAAAATCAAGTATATTAGAAAATAAAACATTATTTGATTTATGTATATCGCATAGGCGTCGGAACAGGGGGGGGGGGGCTAGGTGGCTTAACCCCCTCAACTTTTTGCAAATATATACATTATATAGGCATTGAAAATTTGGGATTACCTTTTTTGTTGGTTTAGCCTAGGCCCCTACTTTCAATAAGCCCCCTCCCCCACTTTCAATTTGCTTCCGACGCCTATGTATCGGACCTCCTTGATATATAAGGTTCTGCTGAAATACATACGCAAATCGACAAATGTAAACTGCTCTTCATTCTTATTTAAAAGGGACACAGAAGTTCGCTCTCCAGTTTTTCATAATCTTTGATTAAGATATAACACGTCCTGGCTAAAAATATGCAATACAAATTCAGAAGTTTTCTGTATTCTCATGATCTCCCTCCTAAGTGTTAAGTATCATTATGAACCAGGCAATATTTTTGTCAACATCTACATGTAGCTTGACCGTTACTCAACAGGCAGCGTGCACAACGTTCATTTAGTATTTCAGGAAACACATGCTTAGTTATATCAAAATAATTCACACAACTATTGAAGATCCAAAAATATGTGTTGGTAATGGATTTTCAAAGATATACATTTATTGGAGTGTTCAAGTCTCGAAACGCCTTAAACAAAGTCTGTATTGCAACACGTTCACCCCCATCCCAACCCCACTTCTCTCAGTACTTTGGGTTTTTTTTTCTTTTGTCAAACCTTTTGCCCTATTAACTTGGCTTTAGTGGTTTCGATATCCTCTGGCATTTTTATTAAATATATAAGAATTAATGTTACTTAAGATTTGCCATCATCTAAGAATTGCCGGTAAATCAAACACAGCTCATGGTTACCTTTTGCCAGCATCAATGAATTGCCGGTGTAACGACGAAAAGTGACCCCCGTAGAATATTGACCGGGCGTCAATATTCCCTGGTCAATATTCTGCGTAGAAAAATGACCCCCTTTTCTGTAGAAATTATGGCCGTGGGATCGTTTTTCTCCGTGTGCATCGCAGACAAATGACCCCATAGAATAATGACCCCTTGTCATTTTTGATGCAAAAACATTTGTTTTGGTAGGAATATTCTTTTAAGGCGAATATATACCGGTATTACTGTGTACAGGGTTATCTTCGACCCGTCTTATTTTCGCCCTTTCACACTTGTAAACAATTTTGCCCCGTTTTAAATTCGCCCAATCATAGTTTTGTTTAAGAAATTATACTGTATTCTTTGAATTCGCCCCGTTTTAAATTCGCCCAAAAGATCGTAGGGCGAAAGGGGCGAAAATTTCCCTGTATACAGTATTATACCTCTATTGATAATACTCGAATTTGATTGGCTGTTACGAAAACTTTAAAACACAACAATGACTCCAAATGGTACTGTTTACAGCAATACTGACCTAGGAATAATTGCACGTGGGATATACATGTAATGACTCGGTCATTATTTTTAATGACCGCCAAAAATGACGGCTTAATCAAAAATTCGTTTTTGAGTTAAGTTAATGCATAAAATAATAATTATTCGAAAAAAAAACGTTTTTAAAATTGTGCATGATCTGTTTTGCATTACCATACAGAATACGGTAAAATTTTATCGTTACAATATATCGTTACAATTCAGTTCAATAGAATGTAGAGGCGGCTCTTTAAAGAGTTAAATTCTGTGTTAGATTTTGACTGTGTAAAGGAAAAGTAATCGTTAGTTATAACAATGTATGTCGCTATAAACCAAATATTGTTTTAATCAGTAAATCATGATGCAAAACCTTACACGACTTGCAGACGTCAATGTAAACAACTTTACTATCCGGTCTGTAGCGAATCCCGATCCCGATCAAAGAAAGAATTGATAACGGTTAGAGTTTCATACTTTTCAATATATATCGGTATAATAAAACAATTAATTACCCCTTTTGAGTTCAACATGATGAAATAAGTACCTCGACCTGGCCCACTCGATGACCTGCCCTGACCTCGTGGGCCAGGTCTCGGGCTCTTTTTTCACCATGTTGACCTCACAAGGAGTAATTAATTGTATAATATCAAGCTGCCTTATACTTTGAAGTGTTATTTTTGAATGCTTTTAAGCTTAGAAAACAAAATCAAAGCTATACAATTCCTTACATTAATAATACAAACTGTTTTATCCGCATTAAAGGAAAACAAATTTAAAATGTTCTAATTAAAGTCTATTAGAGCAAAGATACGTGTATTCAGAGAAACGTTTATTATATTTTACACAGTTTTCACAGTTGTCATTTTAATCTTAATAAAGTTTATTTTCTAGCTGGTGTCAGAAAAGGTTTCCATAATTGATTAATTATAAATCTCATTGATTTTACCCTGGATAAATAATTTGCAAAAATCTAAATAAAGTTTTGACTTTCAAACGTTTAATGTTTTTGATCCCTACTTTTAAACTGGCGTGAAAGGGGGCACTAGCTTAGAAAAATAGATCTTATAAACATATTTTGAATGAAGTTTCAAACTTCTTATAAAAATACGGATGATTTAATTTGTAAATATAAGTTAAATTAAATTGTCTCTGACCTATGATACAAGGAAAACAAAATATTGTTAGCTCAAAACCTGTAAAATGTCTTTTGTTGTTTGCTAGTGTCAACAAAACATTAACAAAATGGGGGTTGTAGCATAAAACATGATTAACTACAAAAAAGGTGTGCGCGCCTTTCCAAAAATTGGCACATGTACACATGTAGTTTTCCCCGTTCTACATGTACTTACATATGATGATTTTTAGGAGTTTTTTTTACCAGTAGAAAAAAAAAAACAAATGTTTGATGATGAAAATGTTGTTACTTCAATGTTATACTAATGCCCCCGTAAACGAAGTTTCGGGGTTAAATAGTTTTTACCTGTCTGTTTATATATTTGTCCGCATAAATTCTACCCATATCTTTAGACTTGTTGGGACTACGGCTTTCATATTTCACAGTTGTATTTTCATGACAAGACCCTTTTTTGTGTACAACCAACTTTGACCATATGACATTGGCCTTTGAGTTTGAGACACCTTTACCCAAACATTCCACACTTTTACGTTAGCATTAACTTTTGGACGGTATATGCTAGGACTTTATATCGAAGTAATGGCATGAAAGACCATTATAATTCATTGATTTGCAAAGGTAATGTCTATAAAATCTCAGAAGAAAGGGGATGTGAAGCAACCATTGGTCAGGTGTCTGTGGGCTAAAAAGTGTTGAAAAAGGAAGTATTTTTTTTTTTAATTTATAGATATCTCTGAAGGTTGAACTATCATTCACTCAGATGTAAATTTTTGCCAGTTTTGGAGGAATTTTTAATATCATTATAAGAATGTTCTCGATGTGTATAGCATTACCTGTATATACATGGAAAGAATAAGTACTTTATATAAGGTAGTTAAAAAGTTTGTATTTTAAAGCAGAATGTATAACCCTGCTCCTTCAACTAGCGTTGAAATTTCATAAATATTAAGGAATCTGATAAAAATTACGCCAGACAATGGGCCAGAAGAAGGAAATGGAGATAACGAACAGTATTCAATATCAAAGTACATAAAATATACAAAAGAGCAGAGCAAACACGGACCTCCAAAACATCAGAGGTTGGATCAGATCCCATGGAGGAGTGAGCATCCCCTGCTGACCAGTCACACCCACCGTGTGCTCCTTGTCATGATTGGTAAATAACGGAAAAATCCGTCGTCAATTCAGTGGGTAAATAATGGACTAACTTTTCGTATGAAATATGAAAAGAAGGCGTTGACACTTTGTCAGAATGGATTAAATGTATCAGATCCATGATTACAATGTAAGTCGCGTATTAAAAGATTGACGGGCAATATGATAACCATCTATCATTCTGTGTTCAATAATCCAGAAGTGAAAAAAGAATTATATAGATTAAATGATCAGTACGTACTGGTCACTACCGACAAAGCAGGTATCAATATTGTCTTCGTTTGTAAGGCTCAATATACAAATTGTATTTTAGAAGAACGTGGATTTAATTCTACAAGTGGTAATCCTACTTATACTCATACTTTTCTTTCTGAGGAAGAGATTCTTCAAAATCATTTGTCAGTTTTGAATATTTCATAACATTCCACACAGCCAAAATGATTTTTAACTACCTTATAAATTGGATTATGAAACTTCATAAAATCCTTACAAACAAAGATACATTGCGGGTTTAAGTAAATGTTCAACCATGTCTCTTTCGTTACCTCTCATTAAGATATTGACAGATATGAAGAAAAAGCTTCAATAATACTGTGCAACAATATATTTAAGAAGAGGTGTGAATCAGAAATGGATACTCAAAAATTCCAAAGAACTTTTGGACAATTTGAAATCAC